TATTTTGACGAGACTCCTAGCTTTTATCCTTAAAACAATTTTCATTTGTGGTTGCTAACAGAGCAGAGGACTTATGGCGATTTGACGATTCTCAAAAAAATATTGTTAACGGATTATTTTGATAATTTTTAAGATAATTATCCAATTTAGCCGAAAAAGTATTTGTCATACAAAATGCACGGTTTAATCAAAGAGTTTTCGCTTTTAAACATGTATCATTAACGAGGTTATGAAAAAAATTACGAACTTTTTTTTTTGGTTGGTTAGTTAATATTTATATAATTTAACACCTATATTTCCCTACAAATTGCATGGGACGTTATCCTGGTCCTAAGTTTAAAAGTTGTCAATACTACAGGGCCATTTTTTTATGAGTAACTATTGGACCATAAAATACACCACCCAATAAGAAGCGAAACACAGGGCATTTTCTTAATCTAAATTTCTGTGAGAATCCGCATGTCGAAATCCGAAATATCCGAATATCGAAATGTCGAAATAAAAATCCGAAATCCGAATGTCGAAATAGTTTATCTGTTTATTATAAATGCAATTCTTTGTTCTTTCTTGTTCATTGTTAGGTTTGGTTTTGGACAAAATAGATCTCAACGTGTTTGTTGTTTTGAATGTTGTTGAAATGTTGAATTTATTTCCTATCCTTTTAAGTTTTTCTGATAGTCCTTTTATGTACGGTATTGTTATTTTCCTCATATTATTCCTTGTGTATGCTGTAGGATCTCGTTCTAAGTTGTTCTGTTCTATTCGATCGATTGTTGAAAATTCCTTATTTATAAACGATAAAGGATCCTAATCATTTTTTAATAAAACAGATAAAATTATTTAATTATAAAATACCTTGTGAATGCGATCAGTTTTATTTAGGTGAATCATGAAGGCCATTAAATGTTAGAATAAGTGAACATCAATCTTATATTAAAAATAGAGAATTTGATAGATCTCAAATCTGTAAACACGCATGGGATAATGAACATAGGGTTCAATGGAATAATTCAAATGTAGTCCTAAAAGAAACGGATGGTAAAAAAAGAAAAATCAAAGAAGCGGCTCTAATTATGCTAAATGAGGCCAATTGTGTCGCAAATTCCTCGGCAGAATGTAGTAGGATCTGGTTAATAATATTGAAAGAGAAAGTTATTAATAAGAAAATACCAGTATTAGTAAGTCAGTAACATATAGAGGATACATTATTTGTGTTTTTTAAATAACATAACACATAAAATCAGAATTTTGATGTTTGTTGAAGGTAAACTAAATTCACGAACAAATACTTACAATGTGGGGATAGTATTATGAGGTTTTTTTCCTGGTTTTTCCCTCATAATTTACTATAGAATCACTAACAGGAGAATTTTACTGTCATCATGTCATATGTTTGTCTTTTTAAAGACGAATTACATGCTATGTTTTTTTTTCTGACGGATATTCTCAAGTTAAAGTTGATTTCATGTAATCGAATGAACTATCTTATAAGTAAAGTCGTCCCAGAAGCGCAACTCAACAATATTGGCAATATAATTTTAAAGTCGTCTACTTTAAAATGCATAATGTGTGTCTGAATTGTCAATATAAATGAGTCTGATAAAATTAAATTATTAGAAGAATTTTTCACTATGTAACAAAAAAAAATTGTTTAATTTACTGTTTGTATTTTAAGAACGATTTCCGAAGTGGAAATTGAAACATCAATAAACGTATTTTTATCTTTAATTGTGGCTTATTCCCAGTTTAATAGTAATTAATTTACAATGCCAAAAGAAAATAGCTTCAGAATAATATTAACTGTATTATGCATTCAACTAATCACTAATAAGCATAAAAATATCTACTTTGAATGTTAGTATGTTATTTGGTCATTAAATATATTTTTATATTTCAAATCTTGATATTAATATGCAGAAAGTGTCTAACATACTCAATACTCTAGTATATGCACATTCAGCTGTAACGCAAAAACCCTTTAAGTTATCTGGTGGTACAGCATAAAAATCAAAAATGAGGTTGAAAATAAAAACTTTACGTGCGAATGTAAAAAAGCATACACCTTCAAAAAGGAGGAAGATGATACAATTTACTTAAATAAATTTAATCAAATGTGTGACTCAAATGAAAGTTATTAAACAAGCGCCCAGCACAAAAAGCACAATTATTAGTAAAAGCTCAAGCAATTTTAAAAACGGAACCTCAAATAAGTAGGAGGTTTTATGATGAATATAAACAATTTGCATTAACACTATATTTTTAGGCCCAGCAGTGTATATTTTTAAGAAAAGTAGTATGATAGTAAAAGGATATGAAGACAAGAAGAAAGCCTTTTTAGAATACAGAACACAACAAACAAAACGGGCATACAACCATTATAAACGAATCTAAAATAAAAACGAAAACGTTAGTTAGACAAATAAAATGACAACACTGGCAGAGCTTCTCAAAACAGATTAAACACTATTTCTACGGAACAAAGAAAAAAATATCTAGAATGATCAGAGGACAAAAAAAAAATGAATAAGCTAATAAAAATGAAACCATTTAGAAGGAAACATGGGCAAAATACTTTCGATCCCTATTTGCTAAAGGTGACGATGATAAGCCACCAACACCAGAGGGAACGTCAACTGAAGAAATAAATAATAAGGACGAATAGGTAAAGAAAGCAGTAAGAAAATAAAAAATCAAAAAACCACTAGGAAATAACAGAATACCAAATGAACTGATAGATAACGGAGGACCAGATCTGACAAAACAACTAATAAAACTGATCCAAGAAATAATAGATCAAAACAGAATTCCTCAAGATTGGAGATCAAGCATCCTAATATCTCTCCTTAAAAAAGAAATAAAACCGGAAACTTACAGAGGAATTTTGTTTATTAAACACAACACTAAAATTAACAACTAAAGTGATAACAAATAAACTGAATCAAATTATAACACTAGCAGAAGAACAACAAGGTTTTAGGCCGAAAAGATCATGCACCGACGCTATATTTGTAACGAGGCAAATGCAAAAGAAGTCATTAGAATACAACAAACCGAAATATCTATGTTTCGTGGACCTTAAAAAGGTATTTGACCGGGTCAAATTAAAAGACGTTATCCACTTACTGTATGCAAGAGAGATACCTCTAGGCATAATCAAAACAATCGAAAATATCTACAAAACCAAAACAATAAATGTAAAAGTAGAACAAGAACTAACCGACCCTAGAGAAGCTGGCAATGGGATAAGGGAGATTCCCTGAGTCCTCCATTGTTCAACCTGATTATGGATAAAATAATAAAAAAAGTAAGAACTAAAAAAGGATACCAAATAGGAGAAAAACAAAGGATTAGAAAGGATTAAATAAATAATCAGGGAATATGTCGCAATTAAGGGGCCAAAATCCAGTCTTTAAAAATCCACTAACGGCATTTTGGTGTGTAGCTGCTTTTCCATACGCTGTAGCAAATAATCCTTCAACTTGGTATTGCGAAACTGTTCTGCCTGAATGACACTTCATCCACTTGGTAACTTCTTGATCATAGTAGCTCTTTAATGGACCAAAGAAACATACATCTAACGGCTGTAGACGATGGGTACAGTGCGGCGGAAAACACAATATCACTATTCCATGTTCTTGGCAAAAGTTAAAACATTAATGTTTTTATGGCTCGCATGCCCATCAAGCAACAGCATAACCTTGTCTTCTATAGAAGGATTAGAATATTCTTTAAAATGTTTCATCCATGTTAGGAACACTTCGCCTGTCATCCATCCTGTTTTCTGTGCTATTCCCGTTGGAACATCAATTATGCACCACGTGATGCCCTTGTATAAAAGATCTTAGCGCATAGCCATGTTGCCAAGTTAGAGATACACCGGATGTGTCATTTTACCCTAGTATGTCATTTTGGGCCAGGTTCCCCTAAATTGGAGCTGGAAGGTCAGATAATAGAACAAGTGATGGAGTTTAAATATTTAGGCATCACATTATCTAGCTACGGAAACTCGAAACCGAAGTGGAAGATCTAGTGAATAAAGAAAATAGAGCCGCAGGCTGCGCAAATGAAACAATATGGAGAAATAAAAATATCAGGAAAGAAACAAAAGGCAGAATTTACAAAACAGTCATCAGACCAGTAATGACATACGCGGCAGAAACAATACCTCACACAGAGAGGACACAAAGGATATTAAAAACAGCAGAGATGAAAACACTTAGAAAAATTTATGGTAAGACACGATGGGACAGAGCTAGAAGTACAAATATACGACATATATGCAAGGTGGAGAACATCAAAAACTAGGTAAGAAATAGAAGAGTGGAATGGAACGATTATATAAGCCGAATGACAACAAATAGAGTAGTAAAGACGGCAAGAGACGGTTCCCCAATAGGAAGACGATCAGTAGTAAGACCACGCAAACGATGCAATGACAACTCACTGGAGGCACATTGAAAAACAGACAGAGTCATGTCTATATAAATAGAAGAAGAAGAAGAAAAAGAAGAAGTATTTTGAGTACAACTTGTAAACGTAGGATAACGTACCATGCAATTTGTTGGACAATGTGGGTTTGATATTATATAAATATTAACTATCCAACAGAAAAAAATCTGGTGGTTAGTAATTATTTTTCATGACCTCGTTAATCATACATTTTGGCAAGGGGGGACTCTATGCCAAATGAAATGACAAATGGAAAAATCAAGCTACTCACAAAAAATTAGCTTGTTAGTAATAAATGATGAAAATAGGCCTGCGATCCCGGACTATTTAATATGCACATAATATACAATATAAACAATGATATTGTAAATTTTACTGAAAAACTCGTCGATTTCACAATACAAATATTTTACAAATGTATTATTATTTAAGTAGTTATTGTAAATAAATATGTATGTTCGAAGGTCACACTTATACTATCAATATAATAAAATTTCAATCTAACAACTACAATGTAGTAAGGTATTTAGTACGTATTTAGTTATAAGTACTTTGCTGAGAGTTTTGTTTATGTAAAAATTCTTTTAGAATCAGTTTTGTCAAATAATTTTTCTATATAACAATAAAACACTGAAAACTGTTTTCAAACTTCCACAGAATTTATTTTAAACTATTATCACTACAGCTATTTCGGCTGATTGCCTTTCTCAAGTGATCTATTTTTGGCAGGCGTTTACACTTTATAGTCTTTAATGAAAAAGCTTGAGGAGGGGAGAACTGTTAGTTTGTCTCAAGTTGGTCATTCAGAATTACATCTGTGTTTTTTAATTTGTTGATTTCTATAGATTCTAACAAAGATAGCTTAAGGCCTTTGTTTTGAATGTGAAGAATTTTAAATTCTTCATTAAAAGAATGATTATGATCTAGAAGGTAAAGTGCTTATGTAGAATCTGTTTTTCTATTATTAAAAGCCCTTTTATTTTCCGCTATTCGTTTATTAAAATTTCTACGTTCTACGTTCTACGTTTGACCGATGTAAGTTTTTCGACAGTCGCCACATTTAAGTTTGTACCATCGAGCAAAAAGACAAAAGAGGGAATGTAAAGGTAGTGGGGGCAAAATATTGTTAGACAAGAAGTGCGATCTTTAGAGACCACATTAAACAAGGAAAGTGAGTCTCTCATTTAGTTGGGTTATGTTATTGTTTCTCCCAAATGTCAAATGAAATCTTATTTATATTGAAGTTTTTTAACAATTGTGTCGCATTTTAGACTATTACCGTTAAAAATTAATTAAAGCTATATAAAAAATATTATATAGCTACTGTTAATGAGTGTCGGAAAATTTAAATTTGGCGCATTCGCATTTCCGGATATGTCCGCCATTAGAGGCCACTTTTTTGGTCTCCTTTTCATAAGGATTAGATTCCCTCTGTTGTCTTTTTGCTCGATGGTTTGTACGCACCACTGTGTAGGTGTTTTTTTATTTTGGCTCTTGTTGGTTTTGATATATTTGATTAAGTTGTTATTTGTTCTGAAAGCTGGTGCAATTGCTTTTTATATTTGTTTGGCTATTTTAAATGGATATCACTAATCGCATTTCTACTCTGATGTTCGGACACAGGAGTACTCTTGTGGCCCATAACAACAGAGCCTCCATCTCCTCCCTGCCCTTGTAATGGTTAGTTCGCTTGGTGCTGTTAACTGCCCGGGTGTTGCGAGAAAACGCCCCTTTATCAAACACATCCTACAACATCACAATGTACAAATCCTAGCCCTCACCGACACACTTTCAAAAACCGACCCTATTTTTCCCGGTTATTGCACACTTCACCGCCCTCGTAGCCAAATATTTCACGGTATTGGCTTCCTTATTAAATATGGCATCCCCTTCTCTCCTCATAGTATCCCTCCGCACATGAACCTCAATGATGAAGACTTTCTGGCACTTGACATCCACCTTGATAATCACACAACACTTACTATAGTCTCTTATTACAAACATCCTTTTCAAACCGTATCCGAAACATTGTTTGAATACGTTTCTAGCCTGAATAAGGCAATCATACTCGGAGACTTTAACGTCAGGCACATTCAATTTGGCGATTTTACGAACCGTTCAGGCAATGATTTTTCGGAACTGCTCATTAACCTCCCTCTACACCGTATCCGTAACCGTGAACCGACTTTTGTGGATCACCAGGGCTTGTCGACGGTCGATCATATCGTATGTACATACGATGTGATTGACCTACTTGAGGACAAATGCTTCCTGGGAGATTTTATTACGTCGGATCACCTACCCCTGCTGGATAAAGAACAGATATTTACCCCTCTACCTCCTAATCCCCTAAAGTAATAAATGCCAATTGGGATATGTAATAAACATGCCAATTGGGACTTTACAGAACCTTCTTATCAGTTAATACTCCTGAGTTAGGCAACTTAACACAGCCTGATGATATCGATCAAAGTATCATGGTCATCACTGAACTGACAAATCAAGCAATTGATTTATCAGTCCCAAATAGGGTTGTCAACCCTAACAAACCACCTCTACCTCATTACATCATAAATAACATAAAACACAAGAGACGACTTCTCCGTCAGTTTCAACGTATCTGTAACCCTCTAGTCAAAACAGAATATAACCGCCTGTCTGCAGTAACCAAATTAGAGGTGAACAACCCGCAGGCTAGACAATGGTTTGCGGCCACCTCTAGCCTTGATTATCGTTACGGAGGTAAGTTCTGGTACAAATTCAAATGCCTAACCAAACAGAAACAAATAATCCTTCTCACTTTGTGGTGAACAATCAAATCATAAATACATATCAACAGGAGGCAGACGCCTTTAAAAATCATTTACAAAACACTCTAATCTCACCTAATAATCCTAGATTTGACCTCGCCTTCCTTACTAGGACTAAGAGAGACATAACAAGACAATTAATCCATTGTTCTTTTGGTTTTTCTCTTTGGGTTTCTTCTTGTGTTTGGTCGTTTTTGCATCCTGTTTTAGACCTTCTGCCTCTTCAGGGTATGGTTTGTGTTGTTTGGTGTGTGACTACTTCTTTGTTTTCTTTGGTGGTACACTGGTGGTACAGCCGAGCCTGGGCAATCAGCGGAGAAAAGGCAGTGTGTGTACGGTTCTATTCAGAATTTCACGAGGAAACTAAGTTCATGTAGCTGGCTGTATACCATATATCACAAAAAAATTTTGTTTAAAATCCTTTATAAAAGGTATATAAAAATGCCTCAAACGGGCTATCACAAACACATTGCAAAACGTTTTTGGATTAAACAATCCATCATCAGTGCAAACCTGAAAGTATATAACCACTTTAATTAAAAAGAACGTTAAATGAAAATGTTGACAAAGGTTAGAGCAAAATGTGGTTAATACTTACGGTTGTACATGCTAGTAGCCACCAAAATATATGGGTAAAAACCCTTTAAATGTTTTAAATTTGAAGTTGTTTTACATTATTAGTATTTATAATATGTGATGGTTAAGTTACCGTTGGATAGGTAACATGGCGGCGTATGACTCTACATGAGTAAAATGGTCCTGAGACGAAGTGTCTACGAGGACCTGTTGATAACAACTGATCAAAATGACATTGTTGACATGTTAGGACGGATGTTGTGTCAAAGCAGTCAGTGTAACTTACGGTAGTTGTCTAAAATTGACAGATGTCAGCCTTATTTAAAATTGAAAAAGTTAAAATTATAATAATGTAACAGTATCAACCATCAATATTGGAATCTGTATTGTAAGTTAATCAGATAGGTATATTTGAAACATTGAAAATTGGTTTTTTAAAAATTAATGTAGGTCAACTGGAATTTATGAAATTTTGTGGGATTGATAAGCAACCAACTATACATGTGTAAGGATCTATTTATTTTAAGCTAAATATTTTGTCAAAAGGCCCTGTATGTTGTGAGACGTTTGGTACCTAGAAAATGGTAAAAAGGCACATGTGGGAAGATGGGTCCTAAAAGATTTATTATTGAGTATTGATGTAGTAGGTGGAGGTGTGTTTAGATATGTTGTTGAGTTAAAATGTAAATATGATAAGAATGTGATCATAATGTGGTGTTCATGTAGTACTCAACTTAAAACTTAAGTATGGAAGGCCCTATATGTCAAAAAACTACATTTGGTACCTAGTAAATATAAATAAAGAATTTTTAAGTTATAAGTACATGAACATGAATTACTGGTTATGTGTGTAAAGTAAAGATATAGGCTGTTTATGTGTGTGGGCAAGTATGCCAGACTGAAAGAAAATTGATGGCTGAAAGATGGTTAGGTGTGATATTGTTCCTACATTGCTCAAGTTATAACTCAAGAAAACAAAAGGCCCTATATGTTAAAAGGAACATTTGGTGCCTAAGAAATATAAAAGTAAAAAGGGATGAGTTATAAGTTAGAGTGTAGGTAGGTGAAAAGTTAATAGGCTTATGGAGTGTATTGTGACAATATGTGGAAATGTAAGAGTAGTTGTGTTTAAGGTGGATCTGTCAAGTTTACTAAAGATGTGTGATGTTTAAATGTTATTGTGAAGATGAAGGGGAAAATTACAAAAGACTAAAGACCCCAGAGACCCGAAAACCAAACCCTGAGGGAAATTGGATGAGTAAAAAGAAGTTATAGATGATAAAGAAAAACGCAGTATGAAAAGGTGAAGATATGTGGTTGAGTGGGTGATGGTGTATATTAATGAAAATTGTTTTTGGAGAGGAAGTGGCATGATCTTCTCTGAAATTATTTTGTTGAGAAGGAGCATGGAGAATATTGGGTATTAGGTCATATTTGACGTTTGGATGCCCAGACAGAAGTGAGGAAAGAAGGGGAGTTGGATATATTGAACAAAGTTTAAGGGGGCTAAGGATGATTAGTAGGTGATAAGAGAAGGATGAGAATTTAAATACTAATGAAGAAGTAAGTTTGATAATGAGTTATGAGAATAATTGACGGTGGAGCGGAAGAAAGTCTCGATTAAATGAAACATGGCGATTGACACAAATTTTTTTCTTTAATCATTTCTAGGTCTTCATATAGGTCTAATTTGAGAAAGTTTTTTTGAGGGATGTTATGAATAAGTGAGACGTCTTCTGGGATATTGAGAGTGTGGTTGTGTTCTTTAAGGTGTTGGGAGAAAGTGGAAGTATTTTCTCTTTTTGTGTGATCTAAATGGCGTGAAGAAAATGATCTACATGTTCTTCCTATGTAGGTAGCATCACAACCAGAACATTTTAATCTATACACACCACTACGGTTCATATAGTTGATGGGGTCTTTGGAATTGGATATATACTGACCCAAGTTATTAGGTACTTTAAATGAAACATGAATATTTTCAACCGAACGTTTAATTAGATTTCTAATATCTCCAGAAAGACTCTCATGGTGATAAGGGAGTGAAAAATAATTGGGTTTGGAGGTAGGATCCCTGGGGAACGCAGTCTCCTGCAAGTTCCTACGTCGTTTTTTATAAATGAGTTTGTTGATAATGTTATGATCATAACCGTTGTTGACTGCTATTTGTCTGATAATATTTAGTTCTTTTGTGTAGTTTTAATGAGAAAGTGGAATGGTTTCCAGGCGATGGATGTAACTGTGAAAAGCAGCATATTTATGAGACATGGGGTGGTTGGATGAGAAGGGTATTACATGGTCAGTCTG